CGAGTCCCACCAAGATTCTCTGTGTCCAGCACTGGCTTGGAAGTCCGGTCAATACCAGTTGAAGTCGAACTCATCGTGGCCTTGTGTGCATGGCTGTTTCGCCCACTGCAGTTAGCTTGAAGTATGGGCTGCATTCTGTGAAGTGGCTGTGAAGTGTCGCGAAGCTGACTGTGAGTCATCGAAGATGGTTGAGGGATACGGACCTGCATCATAAAAGTCAAACAGGCATCAAAACATGAATAGGGATCAAAAGCAAGTCAAACAGGGATCAGCAATTATCAAAACTCCGAAATGCTGTAAATTGCAGTATCTGAGTCATCTGAACTGGATATCTCAACGTTCGGGCAGCGATTACCTTTACTGTTCCTCTCACTGTTACTGTCACGTATATTATTCACTATTATCACGGTGTATCTGTACAGCAGCAATGAACAATCATTATTGCTACGGTTAGTCATTAGTAACTTCGACTACTGTTGCTATGACTATGGCGATGACGATGATAATGATGATGGTGATGATCTTAATGATCTTAATGATCTTGATGGCGATGACGGTGATGATGATGATGATGATGACGATGATGATGACTAATGTTATTACCATGAACTTTTTAGTTTTTATTTCTATCATGCCGATGATCGTGTTGTTTCGAGCAGTATGGAAACACGATCACTGTTATCTGGCTTCCCTGTTGCTATTACTGTCGCCGTCATTGTTGCTGTCACTGTGGCATATGCATACTGCCACGACCCCCCCTCCACCAAGAAATCAAGAGCCCAAATGTCAACGCCCCACAGTGCTGAGACGATGGTTGGGCAGCAGGCAAGCTTGTCCTTTTTTGAGTTTTGATCAAGGAAATGTGACATCTTGATTTTTTCTTGAACTTTTTGATTCCTCAGCCGATGGTTGAGGTGCAGGTCGACAGAGGTGTTTGAACTTCTCATGTTTTTCCTTTGTCAGGACCTGGTTCTGGAGAGTGTCCTTCAGGTGGGGATGCGGTCAGCTCGACAGTGGAAAGGATTGCCTGCTTGAAGACATCAACTTCGTATGTATTGCTTCAGTTTCAGCGATGCAGCGCTCCCTGTCATGGAACATGACCTTCGACGGTGTTCTGTCATGTCGCGAAGCTCTGTCCAACGAACTCCGTTTGCAATCCGGTTCTGCAGGTTGAGTGGCAGAGACAGATCTCCAACCCGATCGACATAACGGATTCCGACGACAATTTGCAGCGGGCTCAGATGGCTCCGAGTCAGAGCACAGTGCCAGAACAGCCGGGAAGCACGGACATGTTCTCCATGCAGGCAGGAGAAGATTCGGCACTTTCTCGATTTGACACCGGACAGCCGGGTGACGGGTCTATGATGTGTCAGGGCAGTGCTGCACGTGCCGATAGATTCGGGAGCATCTTTGCAGGACCAGGTGCGGCAGCTGTGCCAGGCGGAGACTTTCGGTTGAGGGATGCAGAGTCACGACTAGTGACGAGTGCGGGCAATTCCTGCTTATGCTCTTAGCATCGCATCCACCCACTGTTTCGGATCAGGCAGGAACCTGGCAGCAGAAGAACACTGGTGACCGGCTGTCGAGCCAAGGCCAAACGACCTTAGGCAAGCCGGGCGCAGACCATGCAACCACAGGTGTCTGTGAAGCCACCGTCAACATTGCCGTGCCGGGAAGCAGCAAGGCACCTCCTCTCCGAAGTTCACAATATCGCTGATCCCCTTCCCAGGAACCCCGGAACCCGGAACCCACCCCCTCACCTCAACCAAACCGATGTTCCCATAGTTAGCGATCTTGAGCCTTGAGCTTGGAACCGTCTGGCAAGCAGCATCTATGCGAGCATCGCGAGCGACTGTTGGTGCAGCATCTGCCGGAAGGCATCGGCAAATATAGGCAATGTGGCAATCACAGCATTTGTCATGCGACACGCTGCGATCAACTCGAAGCATCTCGCAGAACGGGATGCTGCACCGCTGAAGCGAGCGAAAGGTGGCCGAGACGGTAGACGTCGGATCCAACTGGGGAGCAGCTCAAGAAGTCAGCAGCAGCAAAGCTGGAGTGGAACGCTTAGCCCGGAGGAATCCTCAGGACCCATTGTAGAGATCATTCAAGACAGTATGTCGGCACAGTTCTGCAACAATGTCGGCCGAAGCATTCCTCCAGATTCTGACTGCGTGTCTCAACTTCCGTCGGTTTTGTTCTTGCCGGCTTTGCCGAGTTCATTTGTGGCTTGGAGAGCGTTCTTTACGATGAGTCACGGCCTCGGCATTCGACACAGACTGAAAGAAAGGAAGAGGATCTGCTCCGGGGTTGTGTCCAGGCCGTCGCGCTCGACCTGCAGAGTCCAAGAGCCTTCGAAGGTGCTGTGCATCAAGCGCGCCGAGATGCAGCAGCTGGCCAGCTGCTAAAAAAGACCTGGACCTCCACACTCCCCTTCTCGCTTGCACGCTTTTGTGACCCCCTGCTCAAGTTAGGTGGCATCAGAGCCCTCCATTGCCAACTGCCTCTCGGCATGCAGTCTCTTGCAGCTAATTTCGGTGCCTGGAGTACTGCACCACGCAACCAGGTCTTGGCAGAATCACGACCCGTCAGCTGGTATCTCAGCAGCTGGCATGCTGACGAGTTATCGGTGCCGTCATCCTGAATTCGTCTTTTGCCGGGTCAGGTTTCTTCGTCACAGCGATGTCTTGTTGCAGGTTCTTTGGCTTGTTGCGATTCTTGCAAAGTCAGGCGAAGACGTTTTAATACGGAATGATCTGGCTCCTTGCCCCGTCAGGCTCTGCAGCTGTACGAGGGGGGTGGATGGAGAGGCCCCTGCGTGCACTTCTTAAGCACGCTGGGTATCTACGCCAAGATGCCAGGTGGACATTTCGACAAGCACACTGCGCAAGTTTGCTTGAACATGCTCGGGCAAGACAGCAAGGCCACGCCAGTGAGCTTGTTTTCTCACATAATCAGCCAACCGGACAGGCAGTTTGTCCTTATCGTCCTCATCTTCCAGTTAGATTCAGTTTGGCTTCGGTCTAGGGGTTATTAGGAACCACCTCGGGCTGACAGGAAGATGCCAGCCCATCCAGAAGGATTCAGAATGCGCTGCCAGAGAAACTTGGACACTCGGCTGCCTTGGTGAAGCTCAAGCCAGCGGCAACATCTGGCATCAAACTTCTGTACCCCACTCCGAGGCAATCTGAGCTCGCCCACGGTTCCACGCAAGCCGAGGAGCGCAAGCGGAGTTGGCCAGTGGCCTGTGAGTTGCATGGCGTTCCGCAGGATGGCCCGAATACAAAGGCAAGGTACAATCGACGCATGGGCACTGAAGTGGTCGCGCTGCCGATTTGAACATCCCGTCTACAGTCGTCACAAGCTGTCGCTCGCCTGTTTTGTGTTTGCCAGGTGGGAAGAGCGCAACAGCAGCGCAGTCGCTCTCTCCTAGGCAGTGCTTCTCTAATCCTCCTTCGGCGTTCATCACAGCTCCAACGACGAGTTGCATTGATGGGCCCGTATTCACTGCTTTTGACGCCCAACCCTGCACATAGAATTTTCCGTGTTGGTCGAAGGCTAGAGTTTCGTGCTACTTGCAGCACCGTGCCGCATTCGGTATATGTCAAACTTCAGGCATGTCACACTGCGTCTTCCTGCGCACCTTCGGGTCCACTCAGCGCGAAGCGCTGCGCTGGCCTTTCAGTGTGCTGCCGAAAGCTCCCGTCTTCAATCGCAACGTCCGGTTGGACATGGAGACTCGAGAAGCTGAGCAAAGTCAGGCTAACTCTCCGACCGCCTGTCACGTATTTCAGAAGGCAACAGGATGTGAATGGCTGCCGCACCGGCCAATCTCGCTTGGGGCTGGGGGCTCTATGAGGTCAGCAGGTACGAATATGTCTCAACTTCGTGTCTGTTCGGTCAATGATGCCGCTTCTTGCAACTCTACTTTCGTAAATGTATGTCATACAACGATTCATGCACGCATAGATAACAATGCATACATACTTGCTTCCATGCCTGCATACATATGCAAGCGCACACTGCATGTCGGACACACACACACACACATGCAGAGGAACATATGTGCTTATGCTTGTATATGCATGTAAAGCATGCGTGCCTCTGCATGTGTACACCGTATGCAGTATACAGAGATAGTGTTTGTGATATACACCATGACTCATACAGATTCGTGGTTTCATGTGTATGTACAGTACATATATGTATATATGTATGGTATATTTATACTCAAATAACAACATGTATTAACACGTGACAGTATGAAATGTCATTTTACGTAATATGATATAGCATGATGATATAGCATGCTCTAACATGAGTTACTAGTTGCAACAGGATATATTATCACACAATATCGCATTGTACATGATATAATATGTACCATATGCTACAACATGATATATGATATAATCTGACGCATTAAAACGTAGTATAACAGATAAGATCTACTGTAACATACTTGTCGTCTATTGCATTACGACGCAATAAAACAAAAATGCAATATCCTAAAATCTGCTTTCGGGATGGTGAACTTGTGAGTGAGGGCTTTTGTGAGCTGGTTCGCTCCTGTCTTGAAGGGGCTTCTGTTTTGCTTGTTGACAGTGCACGCTCTATGAGCGAGCTCTTGGACACTCTGCGGAGAGAAAGGGCTACTGCATTTTTAAAAAAAATCTGCTTTCGCACAGTGTAATATACTATGGCACAAGAGTATAGTATAACCGAATATAAAAAAGTACAATAGTAGTAGAATATGATATGGTATACTACAATCCAATATCGTTTTTGCATAACATAACCTAATACAAAATAGTTTAATACCATATAGATAATATAACACATGTATGTATGCATATATATATATATATGCCTCTCTCTCTCTGTCGCTCGCGTCGTCGTTCATGTTACATTGGTGGGCCTGGAAACCAATCGGCTCGGCTGAGAGAATGTTTCGAGCAGCCATTGCTTTCATCAAGATACTGCAAGGGGCTGTAGCAAAGATGGGTAACGCAGGTTGCTGTTCCAGCAGTGATGGGCGACCTGCCTACGAGGCCTTGTCCACAGTCGCGTCAAGCGTCACCGGACGTAAGAAAGCCCTGCTCGTTGGCCTCAACTACCGCAACACGCGTGCGGAGCTGCACGGGTGCATCAACGATGTGAACAACATGCAGCAAGTCCTGGTAAAGCAGTACGGCTTCAAGATTGAGGACATCCTGATGCTGAACGAGGATCAGGACAAGACTCAATGGCCTTACAAGAAGGTCATCCTGGAGGGCATGCAGTGGCTCTACAAGGATGCAGGCAGCGGAGATTTGTTGTTTTTCCACTACAGCGGTCACGGTTCACAGTATTCGGTGGACAAGAAGGCTATGCCAGCCGACTGCATCTGCCCCCTGGACTGCCTTGACAAGGCGTGGCCAGAAGCAGTCATCCTTGACACGGAGATTCATGACAAGCTCTACGATCCGCTTCCAAAGGGTTGCAAGGCTGTCTGCGTCTTTGACTGCTGCCACTCTGCTACAGTGGCGAACCTTTGTGAGACGATGGTCGTCAAGGAAGGGCCCCTCACTGCAGCCAAGAAAGAGAAACTGGTCAAAAGGCTGACCCGGCAAAGAGATGACGTGGCTGCCAAGGTGCGCTTTTATCGTGAGGTCAATTCCGGCAAACTGGACATCAAGAAGAAGAGCCGGGAAGAGATGATCCAGCTGCTGGAGAAGCTCGAGTACCCCAAGAGAGGGGCTTACTTCGAGGATGAGCACGCGAACTACAATTACCTGACGGGCTTGTCCATCTCCACACTCTTCAATGAGTCCGTGAAGAACGCTGAGGATCTCTTGGACACGAGAACGAAGGCACTTCAACATGTACAAAGTTTGAAGCCCGGTGAAGGTGCCAAGATCTATGTGGGGAACCTCGAGCAGGAGGAGCAGATTCTCGGCGTCGCGGAAGTGACACGTGATAACATGTCTGTCTTTGGGGTCCTTTCACTCACTTCTCGGTACGTCGTGTTAGTGAGTGGACCATACACTTTTACGGAAAGCATGACCGTGGAGGTGGCTTGGATGGTATGATATGACGGTGTTGACGTAATCATGATGTCGATGTGAGATTGTCTCTCAGGTTGTCGTGAGGTTGCATGACATGATGTGAGGGCTTCGAGAGGTTGGCCTTTAGGTTTGCATGAGATTAGTTGGCCTTTTGAGGTTGCTTCTTATCTCTTCTTTTGATTTACTATCTTAGCGCGCAGGGTAGGGCTAGCGGGAGTCGCCCGTAAAATGGCGCTGGTGCCTTGACGATTTGTGCGCAGAACGGACAACCCTCTCGGAGTGTGAGTTCCACCAACATGGGGGCACAGTTTGGTCATGTGCGAATCCCTCCAATACATGGGCTGAAACACGTTGGCGGGGCTCCCGAGTCGCGCCAGTACGCTTGGGAGAAGCATTGTGATTATGTCTGTGAATTCGTTGTGGCCATCCCTATAGTACATGGGGGGAACATGGGCTGTGCTCCCGAGTACATGTCAGGAAGCATTTGGGCTTTGCTATTGAATCCCGGCAGAACATGGGGGGAAGGACGCGAGGAGTGTAGCGAGGTGGATGGATGAAGTAAGTGCTGGATGGGTGAATGAATGGATGCATGGATGGATGGGTGGATGCATGGATGGACGGGCAGGTAGCTGGACTGCTGAATGGATGGATGAGATGATGTTGACTGATACCTCGCTGCTCTAAACACTTTCGGGACACTCGCTCTCTAGCTTTCATCGCATGCTTGTTTACTGCTGCCTCGCACCGACCGGAGAATTCCAAGGACTGCCTTTTCCAAGAGCCATTCCAACAAGGATATCCGCTTGCGGTACCTCCCGCAACCAGAGATGGAGCAGGATGAAGATGCCGCACCGGCCAGGCCTCTCGGCCAGGGCCTGCGGGGTGCCCTCCAAAAGGCCAAGTACCAAGATCATGAGCTTTGGATCTTCTCCGGCTGCCAGGACGATCAAACAAGCGCTGACGCACATGTGGATGGAATCTACCAAGGAGCCTTTACTTGGGCGCTGATCAAGGCCTTGAAGACCGATGGTTTCATGGAGTGCTACAGCAACCTGTTGATCCAGATCAAGGCAAACTTGGAGAGTGGCAACTACAAGCAGGTCCCCGCACTGTCCACGACACACAAGATGTACCTGGACTTCGGTTTCCTTGGCAGACTCAAGGAGGATGCACCTTAGGCCTGACCATCCCGGCTCTTTTGACTTGACGAGACTGCATGGTAAGATCTTTCAATAAGTGTCTCCCCCAAACGGGGGGGTGCCGTGTCGATCTCAATTTCCCAGCGCTTCTACTCGCACTAGCTGCAAAATTGCAAGGCCGAGGGCGTCGAGCTCAGACCTTCGTGTGGTGCCGAAGTTTGGATTCTTTTTTACTAGCCCACAGCACTTCTGCCCTTGACTGTCGCTCACTACCGTAGCCCCAACACTACAAGCACCAAGACCACATCTGTGCGACAGCGAGCAAGCTCAACACTCTGCTGCAGCAGACACATGGGATTGCTCAGAGTGCTAGCACAATGAGACCAGGAAGTCAGACCTCACATTTTCGCTCGGGATGGCTCGAAGATGGTGTTGCCCTGCAGCCGCGACAGCATCGTGGCGGCTTCCGCAGTCAGCGACTAAGATCGAAGATGATCGAAGTGTGGGGCAATGACCTTACCAGCCAATGCCCGAGGGTGCTCTCCTGGGTCTTGTCTGCATCTCGGCATCCTCCTGGCAATTTGACTCGAGCTTCTGGGCGCCTGAGCTGCAAAGCTTGCTTCCGTTCCGTGTCATTCCATCACTGATGAGACTAGTGTGTGAGGATGCTCCTTACGCGGAAATTGCGGAAGCTCAGCAGGACATGCAAGACATCCGGGCCCGGGCCGCGCAGGTTAGGCCACGCCAATTTCAGTTTCTCAGCCGTGCGAATGCAATACGCAGGTTGCTGCGCCGGCTCTGCCATGTGCCACGGGGCCACCAGAAGCCTGCTGCCAAGCTTTGTTGTTTCAGGTAAACAGCCCTTCTCGCTCTCATGCTCCAAGGCGCCGTGCACTGCACCGACAAAGACACCAGCTAGCATTCAGGAAGAGGCGGGGTGCAGTTTCGCCCACCATTCTTGACAACATGGCTTCCGCCGAAACAGTCGAACCTTCCGAAATCGCTAGGTCGTGTCAAACCGCAGGGAGACTTACCTGTGATTTCTGAGCATGCCGACAGTTCAGCTTGTTGGCGTTTGGGCCACTAGATAATCAGGCCGTGTTCTTGACATGCGACCCCACGTTAAACCCGCCTCCATGAGCTTCTGCAGGTTTGTGTGGCTGACCAACTCGCACGTCCACCACCAGTCGCGGCTCAGACGCAATGGAAGCGCAAGGAGTAAGCAGTGCTCATGTCGTCCAACCTCCTCAAAGTCTAAGCACAGCAGCTGGTATGACGCGAGTCTAGAGGTTCGTTTCTTGACGGAGGAGTTGAAGTCCCCGGGTCTCTCCGAGCATCACTACACCTTTGTAGATTCGTGAGTGGATGGTTTGGGAGTTCGTGTGGCAAAAGTCCGGAGCTGGCACAGGTGTACGGAACCGGCGGAACCTGGATGGAGGCCGTTCTCCTGCGATAGTGGGCATGCTGTAGAGCTTTGCTTGGCTGACTGTCTCTGATGTCACCTCTTCTGCACAAGCTAAAGGCGGAGAGCATTTGTCCGTTCCGAAGCCTTCAAGACATGAAACTTATCCGCCGCGACGTGGGTCGTTGGACGCATTGTTGTCAGGTGTCTTTCCTTAATGGCGACCTGACAGGCAGAGGCGCAAAACTCGACGGGAGAGAGCGAGAGAGAGCGAGAGAGAGACAACACTCGCATTGCCTGGACAGGGGAACGTCGCAAGCAGCAGCATGTATCCACCACCGCACCACTACCTGCCCACAGAGGGGAAACCGATTTGGCAACAGCTGGAGACCCACCTGATAGCCATCAGGCGCCTCTCGGAACACCTCCCAGGGGGAAGACCCATACAAGACATAGCAGACAGCGCACTAGTGGATGTGTTGCTCTACTCTGAAGCTGACGCACATATCGCAGCAGTTTCCGCAAACGTGCTTGACAGGGGGGACACACAGGGAGGAGATGCTGAACGCCTCTCAAAAAGGCCTAAACCACCCCCGGGGAAGATGACAGCTGCCAGCGCCATTCTACGAATGGCCGACCTAGCACGCATGCAGCTCTCACAGCACGCTCATGCAAACATATGCCACGAAGAGTTCACTCCATGTATAGACTCCCTAGTGCAATGGCTGCAACGCCTAGCGGGGGAGTGGATCGCTGAGCGGGGAATTCCCTCTCTCATGCGTATGCTCCGGGAGCTGCTCCTCAAAATGGCGGGGGGAAGCGAGCCGATGGCGGCAGATGACTGGAGGCAACTGCTGGACGTATGCCTTTCGCTCCAGGCCCTCCTCGACGCCACCGATGGAGGACCAGAGGGGGACAACAACCGGCAAGGCACGACTGCGGGGACAAACCATGTGACCGCCCTGGACCAGCTCCTCAAGGACTTACCTTCATGGGGGGATGACGTGCGACGAGAAGTCCAAGCAAAACTCCTGGCGCTACTACACCAAAACTCCGCCCTGCTGGCCTGGGGGACAACGACACGGGGGAAGCTGACGACAAGTCCGATGCCTCCCACAGACGTCGGCGAATCATGGCAGAGCACGCCCACGACTACTTCTGAGACACAGCCGACAGTGAAAGCGTAGGATAGGGGGATCCCGGCTGTGATAGGGGAGCTTCTTTTGATGCGTTTGCTGCTAGGGGAGTTTGGGTTTTGTGGTTCGCTTAGTTGCTTCCGCGGGATCCTTGTCCTGTAGCTAAGACCAACGGCAGCGGCCCTCCATGACGGTCTTGTTATTCATTCATGTTGTTATCGTAACATGTTCTACTTATTTTACAACGTACCACGACACGCTGTAAAACATGCATGCCGAGGCTGTCGCTTCTTGATTCAGCTGCTCTCCCCCCCCAAAGTTGTATTCTCGCATGGTTGTTCCTATTACTTGCATCGGTTTTTTCGTTGTTCAAGGACGTAACGGGGGAGAGCCACACAACTTCCTTTCCGTCACATGGTCAGGGGGACATGCTTCCGTACTTCATGTCTCGTTAACTACAAAGCGGACCTGACTCTATATCTGAACGGGTGTCCACACTTGACTCTACAGCGTGACCGGAAAGGGGGACGAAACTGTGCATACTTGCCTCGCTCGCAAAGATATAGGGGAACCCATCATACATGTGTGTTGCATCTTCTTCCCAACCCTGACGTCATGATAGCGCATCCATATCTTTTTTCCGTCTTCCATTGATGGGGGAACCATATCTTTTTCCGAGCTCTGACTGTTGTTGCCCCTTAAAGCCTCTAAA